CTTAATTCATATTTTTCATTGAAGTCATGCAGTGACATGTTTTTAAATGTCCAGTGCTGCTGAAATAGCTCATAATAACAATAAAAGGTTCTGATCAATTTTTTTCCTGCTACCTCCAGAAATCACTGCTTTATTTTACTTGTTGTCCTTTGTTGTAGCAATTGTAAACATTATGTGTTGCCTTCTATAATTGTTTTCTATGGTTACCATAACAAATTATCCCAAAGTTTTAAAGATTTTCTCCTAATTGTTATATTAGTTCTTCAATTTAGGTTTTTAATATTTTTCAGTTAACTTTCACATATGCTATAAACTAAGATTTAAAATTCATTCCTTACATATGGATATCTAATTTTTCCAAGAACCATTCATTAAAGAAACTTTCTTTCCCCTGTCTTTGCCTTGACCCTTATCAAATGTAAATGGGCCATACATGTGAAGATTTGTTGCGGTCATTCAATTCTGTCACATTGTTCTATGTCTACTTCTGTAGCTCCACCACACTTTTTAATTCCTGTAACTTGTAGTGAGTTATGGAATTAGGAAGTGTGACTCATTTAACTTTGTTTCATCTTTTCAATATTATTTGGGGTATTAGGATTCCTTCGAGATTCCATATGAATTTTATTATTTTTATTGAAGTAGTATTGCATAATACAATTTATTAGTGTAAAATTGTATTAGTACAAAATCATTATAAATGAGCACATGCATATATTGTAGTAAGTTAATCACTTAAAAAGTTCAATTCTATCCTTGGAATTGTTGATGGATTTTTCCATTTCTGTGGGGGAAAAAAAAAACCTGTTGGGATTTTGAATTTCTACATGACTGGATAGTATTGTTTGCTTAACAAGTTTTGCAATCGCTATACATATGTGCCTTCCATTTATTCAGGTCTTCTTTAGTTATCTATCGTGTTTTGTAATTTTTAGTATCTAAGACTTTCATCTTCTTGGACGAATTTTTCTGAACTAAGTATTTTATTCTTTTTGATAGTGTTCTAAATGGATTGTTTTCTTAGCTTCCTTTCCATATTGTTTATTTATAATGGGAACATAATCAACTGATTTGTGCTTGTTGATTTGGTATTTTGCTGAATATGTTTATTAGTTCTAGCAGTGTTTTTACAGATTCCTTAGGGGTTTCTGCATATGAGATCACTTCATCTGCAAATAGAGATTTTGTTTCTTCATTTCCTATTTGGATACCTGTTATTTCATTCCCTTGCCTAGTTGCTCTGGATAAATTTTTCAACAATATGTTGAATAGAAGTGGTAAAAGCAGGCATCTTTGTCTTGTTTCTGATCTCAAGGACAAATCTCTCATTTTTTCACCATTAAGGATGTTAGCTATGGATTTTTCATATATCACTTTAACTACATGGGCAAACTCTCATACTAATTTTTTGAAATTTTTTATCTGAAAGATGTTGAAATTTTGAAATGTCTCTCTCTGTTAATATATGATCACCTGGATTATTTTCCTTAATTACACTAAGGTGGGATGATTCCTTTGATTTCCATATGTTGAGCAACCCTCACATTTCTCTGATAAGTTCCATTTGTAATAGTGTGTAACCCTCTACTACGCTGTTGAATTCAGTTTGTTAGGATTTTGTTAAAGATTTTTCAATCTGTATTCACAAGGATTCTTGATCTTTAGTTTTTATTATTGTGCTTTCCCTATCTAACTTTGATGTCAGGATAATGCTAACTTCATAATATTATTTGGCTAGTGTTTTTGCCAATATTTTCCAAAATACTTATGAAAGGATTTGTACTTATTCTTTTTTACATAACTGGTATTAGTTCAGGAGTAAAAGCGTAAAGGTGTGTGGTCTGGGCTTTGCCGTTTTGGTTTGTGATTGTTGATTAAATCAACCTCTGTTGATCTTTATGATGTGTTTCTAGAATCTGTATTTCCTTTTGATGATGAATTTTTTTGGCTTAAAATTGTACCCAATATGTTCTTATACAAGAACAGAATATGTTTTTTCTCTAAGATTTGTAAGATCATTTATAGCTATAAATATCCCTATCAGCATGACCTTTGATGAATCCCATATTTTTAATAAATCACATTTTTGTGTCATATGGATCTCAGGTATTTTCTAATTTCTTTGTAATTTCTGCTTTGATGCAGAGGAGTGTATTGATTAATTTTCAACATTTTTGTAAAATTTCCAATTCCTTTCTTGTTATTGATAACCAATTTCATTCTATTACAATTAAGGGGGACATTTTGTATAATTTTACAGTCCTGAATTTTGTTGAGACTTAATAAATTTGCTTCTTAAGTTCATTCAGACTTGTGTGAACATGTGTCCTATCATGGAGAATGTTTCATGTGTACTAAAGAAGAGTGTATATTTTTCTGTTGAGGGGATTGTTCTGCATATGTCTGTTATGTCAAATTAATTTACAGTGTTGTTAAAATCTTCTGTTTCCTTATTTTTTTCTGATCTATACATTTTTATCATATTTTCCTTTATTTATTTATTTATTTATTTATTTATTTATTTATTTATTTATTTATTTATTTACTTACTTACTTACTTACTTACTTACTTATTTTCCATCCACTATTGAAATTGGTGTGTTGAAGTCTCAAATTTCCCCTTCAATCTTGTCAGTTGGGCCTCTTTTGTTCGGTATGAATATATGTAATACATATTTATAACTTTTATAATGTCTTAAGCCTTTTTCCTTTATGTAGTAGTATCCTTTTGTGTTTCTTGACCACCTTTGACTGAAAGTTTGTTTTGTCTTAGTAATATAACTTCCCCATTCTCTTTTGATTTTTTAATCATAATTTTCTTTCTCACTTATGCACTACTTTGAATATGTTACGGAAACATTAATATGTTATTATAAAACTAAATAATGCTAGGTGATTAGTACATGCTTTACTTAGGCCATTTTTCAGCTCTTTAATATTTAATTTATAAGCAGAGAGTTTATTATTGGAGGATGGGGGAAAAGTTTAAAGTATTATGAGAGGGACTACTTTAGCAGTGCTCTTTTGGATCTTTTGATTTATTCAGTATAAACCATAAGGAATAAATTAATTTTGGAAGAGCTGAGCCTAATGTTGAGGTAGAAAACACAAGAGTTTATTATAATTCCATTATCTCTATGTAGAAGGTTAATGCTTTATCAGACACTGAGAGGAAATGTGCCTTTCATACTTCTTTTGATAATATGCCAGGCTTTTCTGTGAAGTAGACTATGCACATCACTTTTATCATTAATAACTGAAAAATTAAAGGTCAGATAAATTGTCTACTGGTGATTATTAAGTTAATTCTTTGTATTCATTTTTTACATGACATGTTATAAAAATGTATGCCTTGATCTTTCATGTTGTAAATCTTTATGTAAACACACACTTCAGTAGTATAGGTAAAAGTAAATATTAATCATGAGGTATTTTAGAGAGTCTGTTTAGTTTAGCAAGGCATCTTCTTAATTACTTGCATACTTTTGAATTTTTATTGAGTTTGAATTTTATTTGAATTTTTATTTTGATTTTTATTGAAATGTATATACTCAATACTTTCATTCTTCAGGATGAACACATAATAGTTAGAATAATATATATACTAAAGGTATAGTTTTTAACTTTCATATAAAAAGTCTTCAATCAGTGACTGGTAAATAGTAAATAGTCATTAAGTGATAATTGTTGTTATTGATGTTGCCAGATCTTATTCTAGGTGCTTTAAGACTCCAGCAAGTAGCATCAAATTAAAATTTTTCTGTACAGCAAGCACAACTATCATTAAAATAAAAAGACACTCTGAATGGGAGAATACATTTGTGCATCACACATCAGACAAAGAGCTCATATTCCAAGATCTACAAAAATTCTTACAACTCAACAAAAGGAAAACAAATAACCCAATTAAATAGGGGTAGAAGATCTACTAGATACTTCTCCAAGGAAGACATAAAAATATGCAGCAGGCACATGCAAAATGTTCGCTCTCACTTATCATCAGGAAAAGGCAAGTCAAAATCATAATGAAATAGGATCTTACACCTATAAAAATGCCCATATCAAAATAGCCAACTAATAACCAAAATAACCAGTAAAATAACTTGTTGGCAAGGGTGTAGAGAGAAAGGAATCATTGTACACTATTGGTAAGAATGGAGTCTCATCCAGCTACTATTGTAAGCAGTATGGAAGTTGGTGTCTCTAATCTAGCTAAATTTTCAACCACTTGATTCTAATTTTTAATTTTGTTACTGCTTTTACAACAGAGTCTATCATACATGTTTTTTACCTGTGTTTATCATTAAATTTTTTGGTTGGACTGTTTGTTAGTAGATACTAGATTGTTAGTATTTAACTAATTTAAATCTTTACATTTCAAAAAGTATTTCAGTTAGATGAATGTCACATGTAGTGATATATTGTCTCAGGGCAATGATCCTACTTAGAGATTAAATTTTTTAAGTCTCAAATACTCATCTTTTCCCTTACACAGTGATGGGTAGCCACATCTTTACTTAAGTTACTCTTAAAATTAAAGAAAATCAGCATGCATTCATCAGTTGTGACAAATGTACCATGCAAGAAGTTAATGAAAAACTGATGGGAGAGCCTGTGAAATAACTTTTTTATTTTTTGCTCAGATTTTCTGCAAACCTAAAACTACTCTACAAACTAAAATTGATTAAGAAAAAACTAGTGACTTCTATTAGTTTTTGATACATTTAGTTGTGACAGATTCAGCAGCAGAAATTGATGTTTCAGCATCATTAAAACTATCAGTAATAGAATATTAGTTTTGATTCAGCAGTCATTCATTACAGACCTCTTATTAACTAATGTTCATGGAAAGCTTAAGCACAAAATAGTTATTTTTCCTCAGTGGGTATTGGGAAATGCTATAGGTATCTGTTGATGGTACTCTGGTACTAATGGCAGAAACAGTCCATATTTTATACACTATTGCTGGTTTTGAGAATATTTTCTTCTCCTAATTTCAGGTTGGGTGGGACTATATCAGCATACAAGATAGTACCAGACGAAATAGAAGAAATCAAGGTATAGTATGGCATTTTTCACCTCTACAAAATCTTAGTATCTTTATACAATATACTTTCTTTTCTTTACACTTTTGGATCTTGGGGTGTTTTAAGATATTTAATTTCCATTTATCCTAGTTTAATTAAAATGTAGGAATATACAAATATATATATGTGTTCATATGTATACATGTGTAGTCCATATTAACCAGATAATCACCATCAGATTCATCCACTATTAACTATGTATCTTTTTTTATTTTACATATGTTTCTTTTTACATCATTCTTCATTTTGTACATTATTTCCATCTCAGTTGTATCTATGATTATTTGAGAAATCTAATTCAAGGAATAAAACAGGAATCCTTGGGTATAAAATTTGATGAAAATCTATTCAAGAAAGTACTTTATATAAGCCATAGTGTGCATTATGGATTATCTTTTCCCTGTAAACAAGTGTCAATAAAACCTGTTAATCAATTTTCTAGAAAAATTTTCCTGGTTCCTTTAACAACATTGTGCTAATTTGAATTAAAAATTGCAATACAATAAATTAAAAATTGACCTTACTTTTTGATCATTTGCATTATTGTAATATTCTTCTGACTATAACATTTTATACTAAATATCATGGAATTTTAGCCTCATAACACAAAAAAACTTATAGTCTCATGAGCAGTAAAATTTGGTACCCCTCTCATGAATATTTTTTAACCATTGGATAGCAGTAGTCAATGTTAAACAAAATTGAGTTGTTAACAATAACATATAATGATCTCAACAAAATTACTAAGCTTGATTTCAAATTATCAAAATCAAGTTCAGTAAATTCAAATCTAAGTAAAATATTCTTCATTCTTTGTCATTTGAAAAACATGCTAGCAAATTCTTTCCAGAGGTAAAATCAGCAAATTGGGGTTCTATACAGAGTCTCAAGCATTTGTGATAGCAAGAAATAATATGGTCAAGATCACAGGTTTACAAGACTATTGAGATATAGGATTAAACATGGTCTTTTACACCATGCTAAGAAATTTGGATTTTATACAAAAACTATCATGTACCATTATGTCATTTTAATAAACAAAGTAGCATAATTTGGCTTTTCTATGATAAATGAGAAAAAATATTTCAGTAATGAAGAGAAAGTTACAACTATAAGGAAATGATATTTCAGGAATGTAGGCAGAGTGATTAAAAACTATAGAATGTTGTGTGGGAGGCTGAAGAAAGAAAAAAAATCACATCTTTTTTGGGGGGCAGGGGGTTGGATCTCGCAATTTTATTTTATTAAGGAACCATTGGTTTACAATGTTGTGCGTGATTTCAGTGTATAGGATCTTTCTCTACAGATTGATTGGCCCAAGATCTGTGGACATATCAGAAATCTATTTCATAAGTATTTTGCCTATTTTTCTACTATATATTTTGTAGTTTTCAGGTCTTATATCTAAGTCTTTTATCCATTGAGATTATTTTTTGCAGATAGTGTAAGATAGTGGTTCTAGTTTCTTTTGCATAAGAACAGGGTTTATATAAGAAACATATTTGGCTAAAGTCAAGAGATTACTAAGAATTTTTACTGGAGATATTGCTAGAAAGATTGGAATCACACTGTAAATTTGTAGTATGTCTTAGGGAAGGAAGTTTCAGGTTGGAAAAATATTTGTACATCATACATTTGATATACGTAGTTTAAAATATATAAAAACTCATCAATTCATTAAAAACAATAACCTGATCAAAACCAAAAATTGGGCAAAAGAGCTAAATAGACCTTCTTCAAAGAAGACATAGAGATGACCTAGAAGACCCATGGAAAAGCACACTTCATGATTTATTGTCAGAGAATGCAAATCAAAACCACAATGAGATACCACTACACACCTGTGGAAGAGACCCAACACAAATAACCAGAAGTAGCAGGTGTTGGCAAGGTTGTGGAAAAAAAGGAGACTTCATGCACTGCTACTGGGAATGCAGACTGACCAGTCCCTATGGAAAACAGTAATGGAGGATCATTAAAATACTAAAATAGAGCTGCCAGGTGAACCAGCAGTCCCACTCCTCAGTATCTGTACAAAGGGACATGTATACTCCTGTGTTCACTACAGCAATATATAAAGTGGCCAAGTTATGGAAACAAATCTAAGTGCTCAAAAACAGATGAATGGAATGGAAAGATATTTTATACACACACACACACACGTGTGTATGTATATATGCAACGGAATACTATTCAACTATATGAAAACAAAAAGGTGAAATCATGTCATTTGCAACAAAATGGCTGGAACTGGATGGAATTATGGTAAGTAAAATAAGTCAGAAGGAGGAAGCAAACATTTCAGACTCATTTCAGAGGGTTTACTAATCTTATCAAAATGAATTAGAAAGAATCATAGACACAAAGCTATTTATGATATTTAAAACCAGTGTAGATGAACTATGAGGAAGATAGTCAGTTCACAACACTAAATGGCAAGTGTGGGAGGTACATCATGGTAGTTTATAATAGACAGTGCAGCTTAATTGTATTATAAACTGGTATATCTTAATCATTCTGTTTTTTCTTAAAAATAAGATAATAAAAAACAAGTTTTGTTGAATTTAAAGCCTACTGTTGTTTTTGTAGTAAGAAATACAAAGTTTGCATAAGGTCTTAGCATAGTACCTGGCTCATGGTAAACATATAAGAAATGATAGCTATGTGATAAGATCCAGGCTAACTTGAGAACTAAGGAATAGAAATAAAAATTAATTCAGGTTTTTAGCTTGGACAACTTCATGAATTATTATGCTAATCTGACCTAAGGATTTCAAAAGAGAATCATATCTTGGAAGAATAATGAGTGATGGGTTTATTTAGAGCATATAGGTAGGTATGCTCATATAAGTGGAAATTTATTTATTCTCCAACCAAATAATTAAGTGCTTTGTCAGTTCTGTCCTCTGTTGATGATTTTTATCTCTCTTTCCTTTTCTGGTATTAGTCATTTAATTGAAAACCCTCTTTCCTATATTACCTTGTTGGAGTAAGAGTACTCAGAGGATAAAAAATATATATTTTGAGTATAATAAATGTGAAATGGTTAGTTTTTCTCTCCATTCTATTTCTGCTGATTTAGTGCCTCTTTTAAAAAAAACAGGATTTAGAATACTAAATCATATCATATGAGGTAGGTAATTTTCCTCTCAACATCAGAACATTCTGATCTGGTAAAGGGAACAGTTCTTGGCTCTCTTTGAAAAGATAGTTTAAGCCTACCTATCTTTCTGCTATTTTTGCTGCCTATAGATAGACCAATGTTCTATTGTTTCTCTTGCTAATTATTACATAATATCTTTACACAGAAATCTTGGCTAAAATTCCATCAGAATACAATACTATATTTAATCTTACCAAAATGAACTTCCTCTGTCATCCTGTACTAGTAAACATATAAATTACATTGTAATATCTTAAATATTTTACCACTAATATGCTAATGGAAAATTATAGTGGCAGTTATTATTATAAAATTTATATAAAGCCAGACCCCTTATATTCAACACAGAGTTAAATATCACTCAATAAAACTATTTTCAGATGGTTTTGTTAAGGGAATTTTTTAAGGAGCATTAAATTAAGTCCATATTATGTTATTTATAGCAAATTATTTCTGTAGTTGTATGCATCTTGGAATAAATTCTTCAAAGGAAAATTCACATAATAAGAAAACATTGTCAGAGGTGTGTCATTCGCATTTGAGAGAAGGCGCTATAACTCTGAGAGAAATGCTACTTCTTGCTAATGGTATACTTTCAGTATAAAGATCCTTACCAATCTCACATCAAATTTTGGTATGTAGTTGGTTTCTAATATATAAATATATATATATATATATATACACATGTGTGTGTATGTGTGTGTGTATATACATATAAGAAACAGGTATGGCTCAACCAAATATCTTTGTTCCCTTAATAATTTAGTAGTGTGTATGTATACATGTGCATCTGACATACGTACATACAGATAGGAACTTAATTGTGGTAATGTACCCAGAAGGTAGTAGATGTTTCTCATGCTTTTACTTATTTTACTCTTTTTATCAGTAATACAAACTTCAAAGAATTTCAGTAAGTTTCTATGGATATAAACCTAATGAGTCAACTAGAACTGAAGTGACCATCCAAGTCTACTTTGTACCTTACCATATTCCTTTCCTATTACCTCTCCTAAATGAGCATCTCACAGTCTGGGAATTTATAATCAGTATTGTTTTTGGAAATGTGAAAAACTAAAAGCAACAAATATTATCAGGCAAATCATTTATGTAGGCTTAAAAATTATTATGTGGAAACATATTCACGACATTATCGTTCAACTGAAAAATCAAGCTAAAAATCACAGAAAAGAGGGCCCTTCCTGGTGGCACCGCGGGTTGGAGTACTGCACTGCAAAGCTAAGCCAAGCCATGGCTGCTTCAGTGTGAGCTCAATGCCTGCCCCAAAGGTGATCCACATGGCCCAGCAGACCTCTCCTGCCTCTCCTGCTGCTCCCCTCAGCAGTGTACTTTGTTGATCTGCCTGTTCTGCTCACCACTCTGTTTCCGGTGAATATCTCACCACCCCTGCATCTCTAACCTGTACCCAATTTCTGTATGCATAAATAAATAATATCTTAAAAAAAAGGTGTTAATGAAACACCTTTAAAAAAAAAAAAAAAGAAGAAGTCCTAAGACCCAAAGCAGTCCAAAGCATTCCTTAGAAAGTTAAACCTGGAGGAATCATACTCTCATATTAAACTGTAGTTCAAAGTTTTAATAATCAATTTTTCTCTCATACAGATATTAAAAAGAGAGGGAGAAATTAAATGGGACAAGAATAGAGAACCTAGAAATCCACGCATATATATATGGTTGATCAACCTAGAAATCCACGCATACATGTGGTTGATTACCTCAGCAGTGTCAAGAATATACACTGGAGAAAAGATTATCTCCCACTACAGTCAACATCTATGTGCTAATAA